GAGATAAAGCTGTGTGCTCTAAGAGCATCTTTGGGCTATTTTATTATACATGGCACAAAGTGTTCCTTTAAGGCAGTACAGAAAGGAACAATATAAATGCACTAAATCTTAGGACTTGAAAAGGAAAGATGTGAAATAAAGACTGTCATCTGAAGGATTGTAGCTCATTTGAACTGGCTCTGGCCATCGGATCTCACATGCTGACCTCAGCTACAATAATGCCACCATTCACAGTGTAAAATTGTACACTCTGGAGTCACTGCATCTCTCAAGAACCTGACTCCAGAGCCCAAAAGTGTGGACTGTGTGACAGGGAGCTCCGAGAGAGCATAAACGCGGCTCAGCTGTGCATGGGTCCCCGAGGACTGTACTGGGAAACACTGCCTTTTGCTACAGAGATAAGGGTGCAAAATTGCCTTTTCACTATAATGTACTGGCTGAAGTGGAGCTAAAGTTTCAGCTTTTCCTACTAGCAGATACATGACGTGATACACGAGTCTATCTCACTGTCCAATCACTGAAGCTAGTTCAAACTGGATTGTAGGAGTGTGAGCGATTAAAAACCCAACCATAAATCAACAGAGAACCTGCAATTAATAACAGCAATGGCCATGATGTTCCAGTGCTGTTTCTTGCACTTGCCAAAAATATGTCTTTGAAATTACGATCGTGTTGTTCTGCTGTTAAACAACATTGCTGGATGCATATGAAGAGCTGGTCTCCTGCCATTGGAGGAAACATAAAGGATTTCACCTGTCAAATTGACATATTTATACATACATAAACAATACATGTGTATATATTGTACTTATAAATGGGGTATTCAAACATATAACCAAACATATAAACAAGTATTGTCTATAATATATAAACAAATTTTGACTATAAATATTGCCAGAAGAACTAGAAGTCATGAGAGACTGTGCTGGCTTGTCTTTTTTTTATTTTACCATTAAATAAAAGCCTCACCATCAGTTAATGGCACCAAAACAGCCAAACCGAAAACACCAGCCAAACACGGCCAAGGCCAGACTCAGGATGTGAATGAAATCACTCTGTACTTTGCCTTTAACTGTAGCCAGTCTGTAAAGGAAAACCTTCTAGAGCTGGAAATATTCCTATATCTGGATTTAGCATTAACTTTTGATCAGAATCTTCAGAAACAGCCCAGTTCAAATACAAATAGAAGAAATCCATTAAATCTTTGGAAAATTAATTAACAGGGCATGCTATCTTCCAAGCCTTTCTTAATCAAAAAAAGAAACAAAACTATATTTTAATTTGAAATTAAATAGCATTTTATTTTACAATCCATGCTCTGCCAGAAGACAAAAAAAACATCTGGACTGAGGTTCCTCTGGAACAAACACACAGCACAATGGCACATATCAGATCCAGATGTGTATGAAATGAGACTGTGGCATGAAGGATGGTCAGTGCCTCTTTGGGTAATCTTTCTCTGCTGAAAAAAATTGACCATCCTGTCAAATCCCTCCAAATGCACTGATGCTGAGCCTATCAGGGGGACCCTCCCCTCCTATACAAGGTATTCAAAGAATGTTTTCCAAGTATATCTGAGGAAAGCATATGGTCTGGCATTGAACTCTCCAGTGCGTCAGCGCATTTCTGCTAGAAAAGGACACTGTCGGGTTCTGGGGGTCTCTTTTATTTACAACATTTGAATAGTGATCCATAAAACCACACTATAAAATATGCATTAGCTATGTCATAGATATCAGCTATGCAAACTAAACTGACCCCGGCCAACTGTGATCCTGGCCAAGAGGTTAAATACAGAGCAAGCACTGTGACACGCTGCTCCCTCACCGATGCGCGATGTGAGGATGACGTCGCAGAGAAGGGTTTACGTTACACTGGGGAACTATGAGCATCTCTGCCTGATTTCTGCAACTCATCAAAAGCTGCATTCATTTTACACTGCATGCCAATAAACAGCAGTCATGGGGGAGAAGCATGGCGTCGCATTTTATCAGCATGCTGAATGTTCCAAGCAGTACCCCCCCGCACTGATTTCATCATAGCATTTACCTTATATAGAATACAATTAAGCATGTTATCCTGTACCAGATCTTAAGAGGAATGGATATTTTGTCAAATCGGTCCCTCTGCACCTTTAAATTAAATTCCGAGAATTCTTCCTCGCAATAGAAGCCATGCTGTTGTTGCAGGCATGAATGCGCTCTAATGTCCTGCAGGTGGCTGCTCAAGCCCCTTTGACTTCAGCACCACTCAGCACTGCTGGGAAAGTCAGACCTGGATAGAGATACTGATGACGTTAGAGCTTCACTTTGCAGTGGCTCTCAAGCAGACCAGGTGTCATCCCCTTGGGACTGCAACTCTTACTATCTGCTCTACAGGAAGATAAAAAGAGAAAGTGCCCCTCTCGCTAGCCCTGAGTTTTGCATGTGTGCCTTCCATTAATTACCCAACATGTAAAAATAACGTGTTGCCTATTTCACCAATTAGTAATTCTGAATTGAAGGGGATTGGTAACCTATTGACCACACAACCTTTCACAATTCTAGTCTTTACCAGTTAAAATGTATTTACTTCTATAACAAATGTATGTAAGCTCAATTGACTTACAGCAAAGAGTTATCATTTGCAAAATAAAAATGAGCATGATGTGTAATATATCATTCACCGTGTATGAGACAGAATATTCATAATATTGGTATATAATCTTTATAAGAGAAAACTATAAATATTATGCACATATAGTTACCTGTTTAAATGACTCAGGTTTCTAACATGTTTTTCATGTAGAATCATCAAATAATTTTTCTACACATTCTGGCTTCCTGCCAGTCAATTTAATCAAATTCCATGAATGATATATATAGATATATAGTTTCTCCTCAGAAGGACCATCATATAGTTCTGACATATCTAATTTCACGTCCTGTTGCAAACACTTTACAAACAAAACAAGAATTATTTCATGAAATGTCTGCTATGTTTGATTTTTGTCAACCCCTTGATTCTAGATTTCAGGTTTTATTCAAAATTAAACTTATTGTTCAATGTTTGTTGCCAGTGCCAACAAGCAACCATAAAGGCAAGACCTTTAGCCAAGTGCATGTTTAGGACTATCTATCTACAATCACTCCTCTACTTACGAATGGCTGTTTGTAACTTGAAATGTTTGTAAGTCGTTAACCAGCATAATTTTAACGGTATACGCAAGTACACAGAACTAGGATGCTGGGAGTACAAACGCTACGCTGCTGCGCGGCGGGAGTAGCGGCCAGAAGTCGTACTAGGCGGAATTGGCGCGCAGATTAAAAAAATTGATGTTGTGGACAGGAAACGGGAGCCCAATGGACATAATTTGGACTTTCCTCTTCATTCATATGTCTGAAAGTTCGTAAGTAGAGGAGCGTCTGTATCTATCTATCTATCTATCTGTCTATTTATCTATCTATCTATCTATCTATCTGTGTCTATCAATCTAGGGCCTATCTATTATCTATATCCATCCATCCATCCATCCATCTATTAATCTACCTATGTTCTTCCTCGTTTTGTTATGCTCTGGAAAGAAGAAGCCATATGGGCTGAAGGGTTTTGGTGTGAAAAAGGAGATTGCTTTATATTTCTCAATGAATAATGTCAAATCACTTAACAGTACATATCTCTGAAAGACAGAAAATAATTATTTTTCAATTAACTGTCAATAAAACTTCTGTGTTCTTCGGGAGTTCTTCAGTTCTTTGTTGGGCCAGTGTAATGCATTTAAGCACTTAACCACAAGCATATAACCACACTATGTTCTCTTTAAACATTAGATATCTGTACTACAAAGCATCCTCGCAAGACATTGACCACTTCCCTGTATACTCTGCCCACACGGTACATGTTCAGATGTCTTAGCACTGAATTCAAGTAGTAGTCAGTGGTGAATGACCACAAGTGGTGATTCTCCTCAGTAATTCCTTCCAAAATATCCAGCTGCATTCAAGTAGTTTGAAGTTTTGAGACCCGCTTGAGGTTCGTTTCACTTTTACCTTTCGTTTGGCCATCAGACATTGAAATGCCAAGATATGACCAGCAGCTATCAAATACAACAGCTGTAGCAAAGGAAGCTCTCTTCCAAGAAAAAAACACACACAAGAATCCAAAACATCTCATTTCCAGTGCAGAGATCCTGAAGATGCTCTTGTTAATGGGACGCTCACATTTCAGCAAAATTATAGGGTGCACATGATATGCATATAAATTGCAGAAACTAAGGCAAAAGTGATCAAAAAGGCAGGAAAATTAAGTACATAAGAAGATGTGATAACGTGTATGCTATTTCGGATGAAGTTCCTAAGTACCAAAATGAGATTTCTTTAGCATCTAATTTATTTAACTGATATAAAACAGAAAGGATCTCGTCTTTTATTGAATTATTATTATTTTAAAACTTCGTTTATATAATAATAACCGTATTATTTATTTTGACAGGACTAGGTTCTCTATGAACAATCGGTACTATAGGTGGCGCAGGATTCTAAATCTCTGTGCGTTCATGAAACTAAAATGGAAACGGGACTATTATCGCACCCAAGAAAATAAACAAACGCTTAATAAACCTAAAATAAAATTAATGTATAGTTTCATCTATTGTTTAGACGTTAAACACAACAAATCAGGTTGAACCCAAATACCTCCAGTCAGATACAGTACATACTCTTTGTTAATGAACTTAGAATAACTCAATTTGATCTGCTTTAAGGCAGAGTTTTAATGATCTGTATTGTTCTTAAAAATTTAACAATGTACAACGTAGCCTCGTTGCATCTACAAAATCGAAAAAGACAACTTAAAACTAGTTACCTCGGGGTACGCTGGTACTAGTATTTGCACTATGAACAGACAAGTGACCAGCAAAGAGGAATATACTTTTGCTGCTATTGGACATTGCATTTTAAAAACAAAGTTTTTAAAGTCGTTGTTAAGTTTCATCAAGTCGTTGTTCTTACGGCACCACTTACCTGAGCTGACTTGCAAAGTTACAGAAAGAATGGCTATTAATAAAATTACATATAGGTCTTTCCACCGTTTTATTTTCCATCTTATATGGGTATCCATGACCACCGATAATGTCCCCGGCGGTGATAACGTATATTTAAAGTAAAGAGACAACTTCAGATGATGAAAGAATTCGCAACCAAAATCCAAAAACGGGGGGAAATATTATTTGGATGCAGCCATAAGTTTGCAGCCTGGATTCCGTTACTGCGTCAGTTCATGGATGGGACACCCTTTTCTGCACTCGCCCTCTCTCCTCTTCTGGCCGTGATCATAAGTGATGTCCCTTCTCCGTCTCCGCAACTGGAGGGTCCTGCAAATAATAGGGGGAAAAGTTTTGCGGAGATTAGAAAGCTGCCAGGAAAGCGGGGCCAATCACAGCGGTCGACACGGCACGGCGGCATTTCTCATTGGACGGCGCCCGTGGAAGCGAAGAGTTTGCTGGAAGTTCTCAGCCTCCGCGACTGCTCCTCCTTCCCCCCCACACCGGTCCTTATTAGAAAGCTGCCGGTAAAAGCCGTCTCTACCCCGGCCAGTCATGTTAATGTTCCTCGAAAGAGGCGTTACGACTGGCAGAAGCGCCAAGTTCGCATCAAGAGTATTGTTAAGCGCATATCATATTACGTTTCACATGCCTTTGGAGCTAAATAAAGACCTAGATTTTCGCATTCACTAAAAATAACGAGATAAAGATGCAAAACGAATATACGCATATTTATCCAAATAAAAAGACTGAAGTGCGAACTCTGATTTGCTTAAGTTTTTGTAATTTAACTATTAAGTTATATAATCGTAATCTGGGTATATTAGGTTTACATTACCATTGTAAATTTGTGTGATAAAGATTTCAATGCAGAAGACCCACGTCCCATTCCCTCAATTTCCTTATCAGTTATGATGAGCCATTCTGTACAGCCCGCAGACACTGACTATGGAGCCTAAAAACAATTGAGGGTAACCGTGTACTGCTAACACCACAATTAGCTAATAATTACAACTAAAGGCACTTTAAATGTACATGTTTATTTAAAACGAGATTAAGGGGAACTTTTGCTGCGAAGACCAAAAACTGCTCAATTCACTCCACCGCAGTGGTAATGACTCCCCCAGCTCCTGCTGACACCATAAGGAGGTTCAGCCGTAACACATGCTGAAAAGGGCTAGAGCAGAGAAAACATCACTGGTGCCATTCCCTCATTACCTCCGCATGGAAGTTAGGCTCAGAAGACTGGAAACTGCTTTAATAGCTTCCTGCACGTGCTCCCGTGCTTTCCACTACCGTGAAAAAAGACCCGTACCAAGCTGAGAAAAGTTATTTTGTGCAAAAACAATCTTTTGGGTAGAAGAAGGCGTTTATAAAAACAAATGGAGGTTACGCAACCAAACCTGTAAACGACAAAGAGTAATAAATAAAGGTTTTGGGCAAATAAATGTTAGCACGTGCACTCCACACCAGCGCCTTCTGGCAGACTCTATTAGGAAAATCAAAGCGTATGTAACATCATTCTTCTAGCAAGATGGTGAATAAAGAAAGGTTTAATGGAAACTGGATTAGATGTTGGATACAAATTTACGGGAGCCTGACCCAGTCTGTACCTTTTTTTTTCAAAACCAAGTTAATAATCAGCAAACATAAGAATTAAATACGTTAAATACGTAACTCATTCATGGCATGAAATGATAGATATTTTTTGTCATATACTAATATAGTTATTTTCTGCCACAATAAAAATATAAGTGGAACTTATTCTACTTTTAGTTATAAGTTGAATTAAATAACTTGAACTCAAGTCTCAAGGAATATTTTCACTTAATATAATCAGCATAATGATTTTGTTTTTTAATCAAGAAAAAGCTCGTGAAGGCACTGTGTGTGGCATTGCATAGATCATACAATCTGTCCAGGACTTTTCCAGTGTGTGGGGAAGCCATCCCGGGAAGGGGGGGGATCACAGGGTGGAGACAAATATCCCAAAGAGAGGAATGTGGGGCCGTCCCGGCATCCTGGAGGGAGGAATCTACAACTGCATTCTGAACAGCAGCTTGAACACACAGCCCCTGCTGGTACCTTACAAAGAGAACACAGCCATGTTGTCAACAAACCCGGCAGTGACACCATTCCTGTTCACAATGTTGCTTAGGATATTAGAGGAATTTCACAACCATAAAATGTCGGAATTTCAGTAGGACCTGTGACGGCTTGTCTTCTGTGGTGGCAGCTTTGCCGCAAAAGAACATTGAAACGTATGTGAGGTGTTAATCTAATTAGTGCTGAGGAACTTTTCATAAAACTGTTAGGCATATTAATGTTACAGTAGGTAGTCACATGCAACAATGCCCCCCCTCCCCCCCCCAAAAAAATTTTAAAAATGGTTATCAGTGACGTTGATGATATGTCATGATCAGGAAATCGCTAAAAAAAGACCTAGCTTTACTCTAAATATACACGGCCTGCACCCTGTCAGGGTGAGGTCAAAACGATCATCTTCATCATCCCCAGGGAGATTGGAAGGCAGAGTTCTGGGTGATTTTACCATCAGGGACAACAGAGGGGAAAGCACTTTAAAATGAAGAGGCAGCTGCCTTCATAGAAAACATGTGAAATGCATCATCAAATCTTTATTATTTTTGCTACTATTACTACTACTACTACTACTACTACTACTACTACTACTACTGATGCTACTACTGCTATCACATTTTATGTGATTTAGCCCAGATTTTGCCTCCATCTCAGATTCAGGGCCACAGTTAAAGTCAGATAGTGATCAAAAGTGCAGCTAACGTATTATTCAAGGAGAAACATTTTGATAAGGTTCTGCTTAGAACAAGTACTACGTGAGTGTAGTAAAGATAGAGGATTTATACAGGACTGAGGTCACAATAACACAATGGAAGTTGACTTTACAAATACTGACATGTACATTTACTTCACAGTCTACTCTTTATTTTATTTTAGGTAATCTGTTTATTAACCAATAATAATAATAATAATAATAATAATAATGTTCTTGGTGAAGAATGAGCTTTGCTTCATTCAAAAAAGAATATTCGTGTATATATACGGATGAAATGAGTCGGAAACCAAACCAGAAAACCTTAGTGAAAATACATCATTGTAGCTATAAACATAGATCCAGGGGTGGCCCAGTTTCTACACATATTTATTCATAAAATAGATGTTAAAATATCATCCTGCCCAAGATGCCCCCTGCCTTGTGTTGCCCAGGACAGGTTCTAGGCTCACCGACACAATCAACTTCACAAGTTTTGAGAAGATGATGAACGAATGAATGGATTTTAATATTTTTAAACAAGGGAGAGGTATAGATTATTAACAATTAAAAAGCACTAAAGATACAAACACTGAGATGAGAAACATAGGTAACAGGGCATAACTATGAAACTAAACACAGGCAAAGATCAGAACAAAGGTGCAAAATTAGAAATCAAAACTACAATATTCACTATAGAGGGATGTAGCATATAGCCTCTGGCCAACCTCAAACACACAATGGTGAGGAATTCTTGAGTACTTGACCACACGCTCAGCCCATTCAGTGGTGGCCCAGGAAGCAGAGGGAAACACAAGGGATAGTGAAGGTGCTAAACAGAGGAATGAACAGAGTGACCAGCAACCCCTACTGGCCAAATAGGGAAACTGGCTGAACAAGGCAGGAATTGAACATAATAGCAATGACTTATAATAATGGCTCATAACCTGAAATGTTTCATTTTATTAGGTGATATTGACTTATTTATAATTTCTTATTCATCTGAAATGATATAAAAAATCTTACAATGCCAGATATTTCTCTAGTGAGCTGCTCTACAAAGACTTTTGCCAACCAACATTTGATTTTTATGAAGGTTGTTTTATGTATTATAATAATATCTTAATAATTAATGGACATTATTTTGTACTTTTGATTCCGGTGGCCGATTCCAATTCCTTCTTAATAAACTAAATTCAGTTTTAAAATGTAATATTTCATTGGTGATTTTGTTAGTCAAACAAGTCAGCGACTCAGCTGTATTCTCCAAATGTCCCAGCAGCCAGGATTTTGAAGCTCAGTACACGCAGTGATGCGATTTGGAACTATCCAGACACATGGATTATGGACCCTGGGTTCTGAGCACCTCAGTATCCCCTGATGTGGAAGCCTGCTCCACGTGCATGGATTTCATCATCAGCATAGTCAGGCACACGGGGCAAAACAGGTAGCAACATCAATGACAAGACTAGGGGAAGACGAACAGGGTAGTACTTAAATACACCAGACTACATTGAACAAGACTAGACACGGTTGGTAACATGGGGATTCCACACGAGATAGCAAGGGGGGTGTGGCACACAGGAGGATAGGACGAGCGGGGCATGACAGAGCCCCCCCCCCCCCAAAGGAAGACACTCCAGGCGTGCCTAAAGGAAACGAAGGACGAGACCGGGGACACGACAACACCTGGGGAAACAATGGCAAGAACATTAATGAGGCACTGAAAACAGGACTGACGCACAGTACAGGCACAAGGGCAACAACCAAGACACTAACTGACACTACAGGGAATGCAGACAGACACAGGGACACCAACGACAGAAACATAGAGCCCAAGGAGGGGGCAACGAAGGGACACACCCCGGAATAAACCAACAGGAGGAACAAAGGGACCAGGAGGGAACTGTGGAAGGCGAGAGCCACAGAGGCATTAGGCGACTGCAAGGCAGGAGCAGGAGGGACCCTCGGCAACTGAGAGGCAGGAGGCCTCACCACCGAAGGGGGTGAGGACACCCTAGAACACCCTAGAATGGGGACAGAGTGACAAGACCTGGGGAACAAAAGCAGGGCCATGGGGTTTGGACAAGACAAGTGCACAACTCAGCACAGTACACGGGGATCAGGACAGGGCACAGCACTGGACACAATAGGAGACACAAGACTTAGGCACACAGGAGGTGAGGCTGGGGAGGACGAAGGGACCAAAACGGGTACAGTACGGGAGGAATCAGGGCCTGAAATGTAGCAAGGGAGACTAGTGGGGCAGGACGCTGGGGCAGAAACGGGAACACAGGACTAGTGAAGACTGGGCTAGGTGGTCGATGGGCCTTGGATAATCCTGGCCAGAGCCCCAGGGAGTAGCCTCCCCTGAAAGATGGGGAACTACCACGACGCAGCCAGGCTCCAGGGGCAGCTAGTGAGGTGTTAGGTGGCGAAGCTGCAGCTCCCGGAAGGGCTTCTGACACGCCCTCCCATTTGTGATCTGTCCACCTTTTTCCCCGAACAGATGCAGCGGGGGTGATGGAGTATGCGTGTTGCCCGGACGGCGGGGGGACAGGCAACCCACTGTCCAGGTGTACCTGCCGTATTAGGGCCTCTGCCACTCCGCCCCTTAAGTGCCGCAAGTTGGCTCGCATCTTCTCCGCGAGGTGCGAGACAAGGG